AGCCATCTTATTTATGACGTCAGCCTCCCGTCTGAGGTTCCGTAGTGCAGTCTGTCGATGGTTATGAAGTCGCCACAGAGGCTGGGCTGTTGGGACTGCATCTGCTCGGCTTACTTCTGGGTCATTCGGCCGGAAGGTCTTGGCGTGTTCGAGAAGGAGCTCGTTGACCTCGCGTCAGGGTGGAGAGGCTTTCCATTTTTCTGCGCTCGGAGTTTGTCGACTTCCTGTGCAACTTGGTCACGCAGGGTTTGAGCCAGAGGAGTGTTTTGTCTCACATGTTGGGCCAGTATAGACTTTTGTTTGGAAGGGACTGCTGGCGCAGTTTGGGTCGAGAACGGGTGTCTCCAGACCTTCTTCAAAGGTATTGCCGTCCGGAGTGGCGTGTGTTTGCCTCCTTTCCGCCATGCTCCCAGGTTAAAGTCCTTGAGGACACACACTTTCCGGGCTAGCTGAGCAGCGTAAAATTTGGTAGTTAAGATGAAATCAATCTGAGAGCTGCCCTGTGGCGAGGTGAAGGTGTTTGCCTTGCGCCCCTGCCATGTGTTAAGCGCAACTAGGGAGTTTCGCTGGAGAAACTTCTGGAACTGCTTCTGAACTGGTTTCTGCTGGGAAGATCCTGCTGGCACCACTCCCCCTACAAAGGGGGGATTTGGTTTTAGGGAAGAGTTGAAGTCCCCCGCTAGCACCGGAACAGTTCTTTGTGACAAGTTAGAAAGGGACCTGCTTAGGGAGGAGAGAACTTTGCTCTGGGTGGCATAGTGATCTTGCTCCGTCATGCCTCGCTGCTTGGTGTACTGATAGCAGTTTAGCAGGAGCACTGGCTGGCCTCGGACTTCGCAGTGAACCTCTTGAGCGCGGCCTGGGTGTAGATCCTGCCAGCGCAGTGTTGCAGAGTCTATGCTTGGCGATAGTAGAGTGAGAACACCTGCCGAGCGCCTGTGCTTTGGCTGTTCAGGCGACTGGGATGTTTGAGCGGGAGGAGACCTCACGAGCTCTTCATCCGGCAGACCGCCTGAAACGGCTGTCCAGCCATGCACTTTGAATTGGGAGGAGGTGGTCCAGTGGGTTTCCTGGATAAAGATAACATCTAGGTCCTGCTGGTGTTGCAGCCACTCTTTGAACTCTGCCCACAATTGTTGGCTTAATCCACCTGCGTTCCACGAGAAAACTCGCAGTGGTTTGGCTTCACGACCGCCTCTAGGGTGACGCCTTCGCGGCTGCCTGAGAGGGAGCTGCGGTACTAATTGGGCATGCATTTTTTCTTGTGTCTCATGGATTACACTGGGTGCAGCTATGCCTGCGCTTGCCTGTGCCTGGCTTAGAGGCAAATTGATCTCGCGATATGGTACTGCGCAACCGTCCCTTAAGGCTCGGTGACAGGCCCGACGATAGGAAAGTTTACGAATTCTACCCTCTGCCATCCGCTTGTTTTGCCTGAAGTGCCGAGGCACGGTCAGACTCCCCTCGTCCTGCGGAAAGACGAGAACCCTCACACTTAGGAGTGATGGATGCAGTCTAGGACGATCCTATTTCTCCCCCCGGAATTGGGACCGGGCCAGCACGTGGTTATGCTGTCTGCGGCGGAATCTCAAACGCTTGAGGCTAATGCCTCAAAGTGACCATCAGCTGGCGAGAGCTAGAAAGCCTTAGATGTTAGAGGGCCCCGAAAACTGTTAAAGAGATGAAGTTCGGGGCCTTGGCCGGTTCGACAGCTGCCATGCGCGGGCGGCTTGAGCTGGTAGTGCTTCCACAACAACCACAACAACCACAACAACAACAACAACAACAACAACAGCAACAGCAACAGCAACAGCAACAGCAACAGCAATAGCAATAGCAATAGCAATGGCAACAGCAACGCAACAGCAACAGCCAGCTCCACGCGTCTGGTACCGACAGCCTGTCCGCAATGACAGCAAGCGAAGGTGAGGCAGCGCCGGGCACAGTGTTTGCTCCAATCTCAGCCCCGTGCCCGATTGCCTGGTTTGAAAGTCTACATGGGACCCATGGCTTGAGTGTCGCCAGAATCGACGTCGCCATGCCAGTCTCGTTTTGGGTTTTTGTTCCCTAATTGTCTGGCGGTGTACTGGTGCTGCAGTGTCTCGCAGCGTAACCTAATGTGGAGCTGCTTTGGCTCCCTCTTGTGACATGTTCTCTCGCAGTTCGCCCAAAGACAGGTACGTTCTACAACAGGCCTTCACTCCATCCGGAATGTCACGTTCTATCTTCATGTTCGCTTCGCTAGCTGCTACTGTGGCTGCCGAAACTACGACCATCGGCACGGCGACTGCAGAGGACTACTGGCAAGGAGATGCGTCGCAAGATGTTCAGCTGATTTTCTCCTTTAACTTGGGCATTCTCTTTGTGCGATCCGCAGAAACGATCTTTGACGATCCACACGCTGGAGACAACCGACGATTGAAGAAACTGGAGCTTTACCCCTTGCTGGCCTAGATGCGTGTTCTGTATAAAGATGAGATCATCGTCGAGCTTCAGTTCTGTGGAGGCGAAGGTGGGAAGTAGCTCCATGTGCAGTGCAAGTGTTGGAAACTGCTCGTTGTCTGAGACAACCAGAGCAATGTGAAAGAAAATTCGCAACGCCACAAAAACACAACTACCGCCACAACATCCAACCACAACAACCACAACCACCACAACAACCACAACAACCACAACAACCACAACAACCACAACAACCACAACAACCACAACAACCACAACAACCACAACAACCACAACAACCACAACAACCACAACAACCACAACAACCACAACAACCACAACAACCACAACAACCACAACAACCACACAACCACAACAAGCAACACACAACAACAACAACACAACCACAACAACACAACAACAAAGCAACAACAACACAACAACAACAACACAACAACAACAACAACAACAACCACACAACCACAACCACAACCACAACACAACAACCACAACAACCACAACAACAACAACCACACAACCACACAACCACACCAACAACCAACCACACCAACCACACACAACCACAACAACCACAACAACCACAACAACCACAACAACACACAACAACCACAACAACCAAACAACAACCACAACAACCACAACAACCACAACAACCACAACAACCACAACAACCACAACCACCACAACAACCACAACAACCACAACAACCACAACACACAACAACCACAACAACCACAACAACCACAACAACCACAACAACCACAACAACCACAACAACCACAACAACCACAACAACCACAACAACCACAACAACCACAACCACCAACAAAGACCTCAACAACCACAACAACACAACAACCACAACCACAACAACCACAACAAAAACCACAACAATGTCTCCCACCCCATATCAACTACAATCCCCTGTGACTTTGACAAAAGAAGATGAATCAGCCAAACTAGTCAAGATTTGCTGCAGCAGTTTCCTGCTTTTTGGCTGAGACTCAGGGTGCCATTCATACAAAATACAACTTAAAACTTCACACACGGTCCAAAAAATCAAATCTGATTCAAACAAATTTGAAATCTCAATTTTGGACAAACAAAATACAAAAGTATCAAACTGGATGGCCACATTGCAAGTCTGCAACTTAGACATTTTTTCAGTCTTGCGTGCATCTTGTAAGTCAGACGGAATGTAAAACAAACAAGAAAGATTTTAGGAACTCAAATTGAAAAAGTTCTTTCGAGACCGGAGAGCTGAACAACCACCTGTTAATGCCTTACAATGAAATAAACCCAACCCAAAAACTTGAAAAGTGCTGCTGAAACCTGCAATGTGAAAAAGTGCGGGTCGACTCAACACTCCAATGTCACTACAATGTCACTAGTCTTTTGCAGTCATGCCATCACCACAGTCTTCTGCAGCATGGTTGGTCACTACAACGTCGCTGCAACGTCACTCCATGTCACTACAGCCTCTGTTCACCACAACAGCCTCTTGTTGCAGACGTCACTTCGGGGCGGTGCTTGCAAGCAGGAGCCGCTTTGAAGTGCTTGAGTTGTGGGGAATGTGGTTGGTGCTGGGTGGGAAGCTGTGGGAGTGATTGTGCTTGCTATAGGTGCAAGTGTTGTAGGTCCCGAGCACTGAGATTTGACTTTGTTTGCCTGGAGAACACGTGGCAGCGCCGTTTTCACCTGTGTGTAAAAGAGTCAAGCGGACGACTGGCTTTGGCTAAGTCAAAAAAGAAAGTTCAGCCGCTGCTGTGTTTCAGATGTTGCGCGTCAAAAATGTGAAAAACCGTCATTCGAGCAAATTCGAACAGCGTGCCAATCGTTTTTTCGCTCGTGCCTTGCGCTGTATCTCAGTGTCCAGACACGCGTAGTGATCACTGCGGGTCACTACGATGAAGTTCATCCGCATTCACACTGTGTTGCTTCGGGTTCATTCTCACATCTCCTCTGTCCGACATCGCGATGATCCGAGCTCGCTCATTAGGATGATTTCATCTGAAGCACGTTGTGAAGATTCAAATGGTAGAGTTCTGACGCCGCACCGGCAAATCTTTTTACGAAAAATCTATGTTTCCAATTTTTGGATTTCCTCATTGCAGGTCTGCACAGGTTACTGCGGGTCACTCCTGCCGAAAAAGTTGGTTCCATCAGGTGGATCGGAAAGGTGCAAACCAACCGCATCCGGTGTGACTGATGCAGCCGCAATGATGGCAAATTCGGGGTAAGAAAGTTGCCTGGATTTTGGTGCATGCACCTTCTGTTGCGCTGGATTTTTGATATTGACGTAGCTTTACGACAAATACGCGACAGTTTTGCTGAATGTGCAAAATCATTGTTGCTAGTTTGTGCTCCTTCGAGCCCACTAAGCACAGCTGCCCGGTTGCCACCGTTGATACGACACCGTTTGCCATTGCTGCTCAGGTTTGGTTGAGTTTTGTGAGAAGCAATGCTGTGCATGTGCAAGAACTGACTACGGCATGTGATCAGCCAGAGTTTGTGTTCAGCTTTGCCGGTACGAGAAAATGGCCTTGCAGAACGCCAGAATGCTGACACTGCAGAGCTATGTCCGTGCTGGTTTTGTGCCTTGGCCGTTCGAGATCACAACATTCATTGACATAAGCCGGCAGGTGCCAAGCCACATACTGTGTTTATACGGCAAGCGGTTTAAACATGTTTCGCGCACGTTGTCAGGCTATTGCGCGGCCGCTGGCGTGGACGTGGCAGAAGTTCAAGGTCCAGTTACACGTTTGGAACATTTGTCGATAGAATTGCGAACTGTCGGGGAACACGCCAAACCTTGTGCTGACAGCCTGCGTGCAGGAGCCTCCGCGTTTGAATCGGCATTTTTCTGCACGTCCTCATACGCCGGCTCAGCCTGCAGCACAGGACATGGCCGGTATGCATGTTTTGTGTTTCCGCAGACTGGTTTTGATTGTGATGTTTGAAGTTTGACACTCGACTTGTTCTGCCCCCTCTCTAGGATTCTAGGACAATAAATCAAGTGGGGAAGCAACAGAAACAGTTCCTGTAGGCGACTGCTGGAAAGCCGCAGCCCATCCTGCAAAGCTCCATGGCTGTGGGAAGTCACGAGGCGTGGGACAGCATTTTGGAGCCGACGGGCGCGATCAAGACACTTTGCGAGTATGCGGTTCAGCATGGTAAAGCCTACGTTATGGGACTTTGCCAAAGTGGGAAGAGCTCGCTCGGTCGGCGAGATGAGTTTTATGCCAACACTGGGGTTGAGATAAACTCACAAGGTCATACGGTTAAGTATTGCCGTTGTGTGGAAGACATTGACTTTTCTACCAAACAGAGCACTATCTTCTTTGTTGATGAGGCACACCGTGCCTTCGCACACGGTACATTCGCAGACGAACTGAAAATGCCGCTCCGGACCCACTTGAAGTATGTCCTGCTGACAACGCAGAGGCCCAGCAGCCTAGAATGGGGCATGAGCCCAGAGTCACTTGACCCTCACCGATTCTGGTTCAATGGACCAGTCATGGATGACACCAACGTGGCAGCTTGGGTTGAGCGTGCAATTGCCGAAGTCGACGTCGGTGACAAGAGCACATTTTCTAAACGAGTTTTTGATTTTTGTGACCGCCATGTGGGCCTGCTTGTCGCTTACCTGTGCGCAGTCAAGCAGAATAATGGTGTCTTGCCTTGGTTAGATATTGACGCTTCTTCGAACCGTGTCGTCTATGGCAACAATGGAGGTTGGATTGAAGGCTCCGACCGTCAACAGCTCGCCAAGACCCTTCTGGCTCAAGGTGAGGTTCTCTTTGACCGAGCAAGCAAGAGCAATGAAGCATTGTCGGATGCAGTGCGGTTCGGATACCTCAGGACCGTGTTGCTGCCTGAAGAGAGCGGCGAATCCCTTGTCAAGTTGCCAAACCAAGACAAGAGGTCAGGAAAGGGCGATTTGAAATTTACATTTTCCACGAGTTGGCAAGCTGAGTAACTGTGGACGCCATGCCAGCAAGATTGGAATACAGACGAGCTTTGCATCAACGCCCTTATTGGGCTTCAGTCGCAAACGCTGATGAAGGGTCTCGTGCCCAGCGGCAAGCCTGCGGGCTTGCTGAATGAAGCAGATGTCCAAGCTGACGCCTACGCAATGTTTTGCTCTCTCGGTGTTCATGCCGTGTTGCGAGAGTATCCCCTTCGCAAGGGACGCAAGGGTAGGCCACCTTCCATTGACTTTGTAATATTTGTTAGTGGCATGCGTCTGGCCATCGAGATTGCCATCGAGGGCAGTGGCGAAAGTGTTCAGAAACATGCGGACAGATTCCTGATGGATGGACAGTATGATGTACATTCGCAAGGCTTAGACGACTACCGCGTCGTGTACATATGCAGCTGCTGTCCTGAACAGCTGCTTGACAACGTCCTCTACTGCTTTCCGTGCAGAAGCCAGCGTCTCAGAGCTGGGGTGCCATCAGCATTTACACAAGAGTTGATCTGAGCATTGAGGTAGTGGATGGCGGACGATTGTCGTTCGCAGTCGGCACTTGCAGGTCACCGTGCCGCGAGATTCTGTTCCAAGACGATTGACGCAGATGAGAAATGGCATTGAGGGGCAGCTTCTTCCGCTGACTTCTTTGCAGTCAGGTGCCATGTGTCTGTCGCTTTGCAGAGTTTCGTGCGCCTCATGTATCCCAAGAAGGGCATGGTTGCAGATGTATGTGTGAGGCTGCCCGTTTTCTACAAGCACATGTCATGATGTGTGCCTCTTCGGACTCCTTTTCTCTGGTTTGATCTGCAATTCTCGGCTGCGTTGCGTCTGTTAGCACCCTGTGAGGCCCATCTGCCGGATCTGCAGGCACAAGAGTTGCAAGGTTTGAGAATGTTTGAGACCGTTGCTCCAGGTGAAATACCAACCTTTCGCGTTCTGCGAGGCTCTGCAGGCACGACCTCAACGTTATCCGCCGTCTGGGTGCGGGAGCTGATCCGCAAGGACTCTGCTGTGTGAGAGCAAGTGCCGGTAATTGGAGCGCAAGGCTGACCGAGAGCATCAGTAGCATTCAGCTGAACGGGGCACCTGTTGGGATCGGAGCTCCAGTGTGTCTCGGACGCTCGTCGAGAGGGGCGGAGCATGCGGCATGCCCATAGTGGCACACGTCTGATCGTGGGGGAGGGGAGGGGCGGGAGGCTGGCAGTTTTTGGCTGTTCTTTGCTGGGAGTGTTTCTGCAAGTTTGCTGTCAGTTGATGTCTGCCACAGTTTTGACCCACCCGACTTGCAGGATCGGACGGTCACGGAAAAGCTGAGGCCCAAGGAGGATTCCGATGCATGCATATCATGTCCATGTTTAACGCACGGCGTTCTGGAAGACAGAACTGCGGAGTTGATTTTTTCGGAACGTTGAAAAGAACCCACGCATGAATTGTGACAATTGCAAGCAGCACCTTTGAAGTTCGAGGATGGCAAGGAGTTTGAGTCAGTCAATGCGTTCCAAGTGAAAGGAGCCTTGGCCAACGCCGCGACCTTAGCTCCACTCGATTGTCTCAGCGCGGTTCTTATGAGTTTATGAGCGGTTCTCGACACTTTTGGTGGACGTCGTCAGGTGGATGACCTGAAGGAAGTGTTGACCTCAAGCCGAACTTCGCTCATCCTGTCTGAACTGATTGCAATAGGACGATGACAAAGATTGAGGTTTTGAGTGCGCATGTCTTGTAGGCAACAAGTCCTGAAGCGGAACTGAGCTTTCATTTTCCAGCGAGCCCTTTGCTGAGCACTTCCATTGGCTTCGAGGCAATTGAAAAGAAGGAGAAGCTCACCATCGCAGCATCCAATATTGATGTATACAGTCTGAAGGAGAGCTTTGCATGACAATCTCACTCTCCTCCCTGTTCCGCGTCTCAGCGTGACTTCGCAGGACAAGGCCTGGGTGAAGGAAGAAAAGATGTCAGCAAGTCTGCGCGACACAACTGAGCCGAGCACTTGGTTTCGATGCCTTTTCAGCTTAGGTTTTTTGCCGTCGCCCCGCTCGCAGGGCTGATTGCTATGGGTTCGTGCTGCCACCAGCGGACAATGTATAAGTTGCATGCGTGTGCCTCAGCAGCGCCGGAGTTTGAGCGCTGCGAACTTGCATCCTACCTTGTTGTCTGAGCTTCTCGGCTGAGGCAACAACAGCAGTCACTGACGCTTTTTTTGCGCTGCGGCTTTGCTTGACTTCCAGGATTAGCAGTCAGCAGTTCAATTCTCACATTCCTTGAGCAGGCTACGGCGTTCAAGTTTTCAAGTCAAGCGGGGCATGCAACGGGTACAGGGGATGCCAGCGCTGGTCAAAAGCAGTTTCACAGAGGCGCTCCTAGTTCTGCTTACGTGCACAGACGCAATCAATCCGTATGAAGAAGTCTGGGGGAAAGAGCGCTTGCATTGCTTTGCTCAGCCAGTACTCACCTGCCAGCATGATTTGGAACACTTCTAGCATGACAGGAAGGTTGTGCAAGTGTTGTCCAGCCCTGCCGTTCTTCAACTTTGAGTCTTACTTGTTAGCATGACTTTCCGGGCAGAGTTTTGCAGGATTAGTTGCTTGACTTGCTGGAGTCTTTGGTATGAGTTGTTTGATTTTGGGATGTGACCGTGGAGGGGTTCGAAGGCTAGCAAACAGACGGAAAGATGGGTTTAAGTGACGGCGAACATTACTTCATTGGAACGTTTTGGGGGGATCCTGGCAGTTCAAGTTCAAGATAGGTCCTATCCGACCGCGCGCCGGATTTTCGCCCACCGGATAAAAAAGGAGCGTCTCCGATTTTTGTCCGTCCTAACTCTGGTTAGCAGTTTAACGTAACGGACTAGTACTCTGACCGAACACAATGGTATCCAAGGATGTGGTAGGAATCTCCTCACGGCTGGCATCTGCGCTTGGGTTCCCACGCGCATGCTTGAAGCTCTTCCTTCGTTAGCTAATTTATCAGCTCGTTCGTTACCATCATGATTAGTATTATTAGCAGTTTCAGTATTGTTACCATTATTACTTTTACTAGTGTTACTATTACTGTTCTTATTATTATTCCCCCAAATGCTGGACGACCCCAAATGCGGCCACCCACAAAGGCACTTGGGTTGGTTTGGGTGGACTTGGGTCTCAGGTCTAAGCCTGAGGTGCTCATACGATGATGTGGCGAGATATGTTGTTGTGTCCAACACAACATCCAGGCTCGATCAGCTCAAACATCAAGCCTCGCGTTGAGCATGTTGATTTTGAGATCAGTTGCACACTCATCGTATTGAGATGAGTCTGAAATCATCTCGTAGGTCTTCAGTGTTCGTGGGATCAGCTGTTGAAAATTCCGTTAGAGATGCGATTTGAGATCATTCAAACATCACTTCGTTCTTGGTTTGATGTGGCGTTTGCGAGTAGGACGTTGCATTTATGTGGGAGTGGATGGAGAAACGCGTCAAGCAGGACAACACGTCGAAACTTGCAGCCAGGGTGACTACAAATTTGACACTACTGAGCATGTCTAAGAATGAAAGGAAGCAACACTGAGAAGGCACATGGCGCATGATAGCATGCAGTTCCCAAGATGGCAGCTTCGCACAGCTGGAGTAGCAGACCGAATGCTCTGGCTCTGCATGGCCGGCCTCCCATCCCACAGCAACCATTGCCGACAACTTTCTACCTTCCTGGCCAACGAGCAGCGTATCCAGTTCAACGGCCACATGTGCATATAGGTCCAGCTGTTCCGGGAGATGCGTTGAGCACACAGGTGGGAGCGGAAGTAGAGAGCAAGTTCGGCTTCATTTTCCGGAAGTTGGGCTTGATGGTGCAGGCAAACAAAACGATGCTGCGTATAAATGGACGTTGGAATTTTGCTCCAGAATATGAGGTCTTTTTTGAACAAAGACGTGTCATCGCAGCAGCACTCAGGGAATATCCAGAAGCACCTGAAGATCTGCTCAGACAGCATGCCGAAAACATCGACAATGCACTTGGGGCTGGTCAGTTCACGGACAGCCTCCTTGTGGTGGCACGTGGCGCCCGAAGCATGAGCCAAGATGCAGCACGAGCTGTCCAAACCTGCTGGCCGCCAGTGCCTTCAGGAAGTGTGCTCCTTGAGATTGACTTTGTTATCGGCCCTACTCAGCAGGTAGACGAAGATGCTGCTGATTTGAATATTCCCGTTCCTGTCATGACACTGACTGGTCAGCAAATCCCTGAGGGACAAAAGTGGTCAACCATCGCCAGCAACTGCCAGAACGGAGCCTTTGTGGAAGTCACATCCCAAAGCTGGGAGAAACATGGTAAGTTGCGAAGCCACAGCTTGCAGTGGTTGCATGAAGCCCGCCAACAATTCTTTCCTCAGGGACACACCATGTATTTCTACGATGGTTCAATGCAGCATTTTGGTGCAGTAGGCGGCCTTCACTGCTATTGGTTCCAAAAGAGCTGCCTGCTTCAAGTCAAAGAGTTGCTCTTGGAGGAGCAGTTGCGCAAGGTGAATGCTGAAAAGAGCGCTTTGATGGCTCACAGCAGCGTGGACGTCAGTTTGAGCATCCTTTTGGCAGTTTTCCAAATTGCAATTTTGGGGTTCGCACGCTGCAACAGCCGTCGCTAAAGCTGTTTTCTGCTTTGGGCGCTGCTTAGCTTTGTTTCTGCCTCTTGCGCATTGTCAGCCGTTGTAGGAGTTGATTGGCCATAGCGAGATACAAACCTGGGGCGTTTTGCGAGGCTCTGCAGGCACGACCTCCACGTCATCCGTCGTCTGGGTGCGGCAGCTGATCCGCCAGGACACTTGGAGCGCGAGGAATCCTTGACTGCATCAGTAGCATTCAGCTGAACGCAGGGTTGGGGCACCTGTTGGGATCTGGGCTCCAGTGTGTCTCGGACGCTCGTCGACAGGGGCGGAGCATGCGGCATGCCCATAGTGGCACACGTCTGATCGTGGGGAGGGGAGGGGCGGGAGGCTGGGAGTTTCGGCTGTTCCTTGCTGGAGGGTTTCTGCAAGTTTGCTGTCAGTTCATGTCTGCCACAGTTTTGACCCACTCGACTTGCAGGATCAGACGGTCACGGAAAAGCTGAGGCCCAAGGAGGATTCCGATGCATGCATATCATGTCCATGTTTAACGCACGGCGTTCTGGAAGACAGAACTGCGGAGTTGATTTTTTCGGAACGTTGAAAAGAACCCACGCATGAATTGTGACAATTGCAAGCAGCACCTTTGAAGTTCGAGGATGGCAAGGAGTTTGAGTCAGTCAATGCGTTCCAAGTGAAAGGAGCCTTGGCCAACGCCGCGACCTTAGCTCCACTCGATTGTCTCAGCGCGGTTCTTATGAGTTTATGAGCGGTTCTCGACACTTTTGGTGGACGTCGTCAGGTGGATGACCTGAAGGAAGTGTTGACCTCAAGCCGAACTTCGCTCATCCTGTCTGAACTGATTGCAATAGGACGATGACAAAGATTGAGGTTTTGAGTGCGCATGTCTTGTAGGCAACAAGTCCTGAAGCGGAACTGAGCTTTCATTTTCCAGCGAGCCCTTTGCTGAGCACTTCCATTGGCTTCGAGGCAATTGAAAAGAAGGAGAAGCTCACCATCGCAGCATCCAATATTGATGTATACAGTCTGAAGGAGAGCTTTGCATGACAATCTCACTCTCCTCCCTGTTCCGCGTCTCAGCGTGACTTCGCAGGACAAGGCCTGGGTGAAGGAAGAAAAGATGTCAGCAAGTCTGCGCGACACAACTGAGCCGAGCACTTGGTTTCGATGCCTTTTCAGCTTAGGTTTTTTGCCGTCGCCCCGCTCGCAGGGCTGATTGCTATGGGTTCGTGCTGCCACCAGCGGACAATGTATAAGTTGCATGCGTGTGCCTCAGCAGCGCCGGAGTTTGAGCGCTGCGAACTTGCATCCTACCTTGTTGTCTGAGCTTCTCGGCTGAGGCAACAACAGCAGTCACTGACGCTTTTTTTGCGCTGCGGCTTTGCTTGACTTCCAGGATTAGCAGTCAGCAGTTCAATTCTCACATTCCTTGAGCAGGCTACGGCGTTCAAGTTTTCAAGTCAAGCGGGGCATGCAACGGGTACAGGGGATGCCAGCGCTGGTCAAAAGCAGTTTCACAGAGGCGCTCCTAGTTCTGCTTACGTGCACAGACGCAATCAATCCGTATGAAGAAGTCTGGGGGAAAGAGCGCTTGCATTGCTTTGCTCAGCCAGTACTCACCTGCCAGCATGATTTGGAACACTTCTAGCATGACAGGAAGGTTGTGCAAGTGTTGTCCAGCCCTGCCGTTCTTCAACTTTGAGTCTTACTTGTTAGCATGACTTTCCGGGCAGAGTTTTGCAGGATTAGTTGCTTGACTTGCTGGAGTCTTTGGTATGAGTTGTTTGATTTTGGGATGTGACCGTGGAGGGGTTCGAAGGCTAGCAAACAGACGGAAAGATGGGTTTAAGTGACGGCGAACATTACTTCATTGGAACGTTTTGGGGGGATCCTGGCAGTTCAAGTTCAAGATAGGTCCTATCCGACCGCGCGCCGGATTTTCGCCCACCGGATAAAAAAGGAGCGTCTCCGATTTTTGTCCGTCCTAACTCTGGTTAGCAGTTTAACGTAACGGACTAGTACTCTGACCGAACACAATGGTATCCAAGGATGTGGTAGGAATCTCCTCACGGCTGGCATCTGCGCTTGGGTTCCCACGCGCATGCTTGAAGCTCTTCCTTCGTTAGCTAATTTATCAGCTCGTTCGTTACCATCATGATTAGTATTATTAGCAGTTTCAGTATTGTTACCATTATTACTTTTACTAGTGTTACTATTACTGTTCTTATTATTATTCCCCCAAATGCTGGACGACCCCAAATGCGGCCACCCACAAAGGCACTTGGGTTGGTTTGGGTGGACTTGGGTCTCAGGTCTAAGCCTGAGGTGCTCATACGATGATGTGGCGAGATATGTTGTTGTGTCCAACACAACATCCAGGCTCGATCAGCTCAAACATCAAGCCTCGCGTTGAGCATGTTGATTTTGAGATCAGTTGCACACTCATCGTATTGAGATGAGTCTGAAATCATCTCGTAGGTCTTCAGTGTTCGTGGGATCAGCTGTTGAAAATTCCGTTAGAGATGCGATTTGAGATCATTCAAACATCACTTCGTTCTTGGTTTGATGTGGCGTTTGCGAGTAGGACGTTGCATTTATGTGGGAGTGGATGGAGAAACGCGTCAAGCAGGACAACACGTCGAAACTTGCAGCCAGGGTGACTACAAATTTGACACTACTGAGCATGTCTAAGAATGAAAGGAAGCAACACTGAGAAGGCACATGGCGCATGATAGCATGCAGTTCCCAAGATGGCAGCTTCGCACAGCTGGAGTAGCAGACCGAATGCTCTGGCTCTGCATGGCCGGCCTCCCATCCCACAGCAACCATTGCCGACAACTTTCTACCTTCCTGGCCAACGAGCAGCGTATCCAGTTCAACGGCCACATGTGCATATAGGTCCAGCTGTTCCGGGAGATGCGTTGAGCACACAGGTGGGAGCGGAAGTAGAGAGCAAGTTCGGCTTCATTTTCCGGAAGTTGGGCTTGATGGTGCAGGCAAACAAAACGATGCTGCGTATAAATGGACGTTGGAATTTTGCTCCAGAATATGAGGTCTTTTTTGAACAAAGACGTGTCATCGCAGCAGCACTCAGGGAATATCCAGAAGCACCTGAAGATCTGCTCAGACAGCATGCCGAAAACATCGACAATGCACTTGGGGCTGGTCAGTTCACGGACAGCCTCCTTGTGGTGGCACGTGGCGCCCGAAGCATGAGCCAAGATGCAGCACGAGCTGTCCAAACCTGCTGGCCGCCAGTGCCTTCAGGAAGTGTGCTCCTTGAGATTGACTTTGTTATCGGCCCTACTCAGCAGGTAGACGAAGATGCTGCTGATTTGAATATTCCCGTTCCTGTCATGACACTGACTGGTCAGCAAATCCCTGAGGGACAAAAGTGGTCAACCATCGCCAGCAACTGCCAGAACGGAGCCTTTGTGGAAGTCGCATCCCAAAGCTGGGAGAAACATGGTAAGTTGCGAAGCCACAGCTTGCAGTGGTTGCATGAAGCCCGCCAACAATTCTTTCCTCAGGGACACACCATGTATTTCTACGATGGTTCAATGCAGCATTTTGGTGCAGTAGGCGGCCTTCACTGCTATTGGTTCCAAAAGAGCTGCCTGCTTCAAGTCAAAGAGTTGCTCTTGGAGGAGCAGTTGCGCAAGGTGAATGCTGAAAAGAGCGCTTTGATGGCTCACAGCAGCGTGGACGTCAGTTTGAGCATCCTTTTGGCAGTTTTCCAAATTGCAATTTTGGGGTTCGCACGCTGCAACAGCCGTCGCTAAAGCTGTTTTCTGCTTTGGGCGCTGCTTAGCTTTGTTTCTGCCTCTTGCGCATTGTCAGCCGTTGTAGGAGTTGATTGGCCATAGCGAGATACAAACCTGGGGCGTTTTGCGAGGCTCTGCAGGCACGACCTCCACGTCATCCGTCGTCTGGGTGCGGCAGCTGATCCGCCAGGACACTTGGAGCGCGAGGAATCCTTGACTGCATCAGTAGCATTCAGCTGAACGCAGGGTTGGGGCACCTGTTGGGATCTGGGCTCCAGTGTGTCTCGGACGCTCGTCGACAGGGGCGGAGCATGCGGCATGCCCATAGTGGCACACGTCTGATCGTGGGGAGGGGAGGGGCGGGAGGCTGGGAGTTTCGGCTGTTCCTTGCTGGAGGGTTTCTGCAAGTTTGCTGTCAGTTCATGTCTGCCACAGTTTTGACCCACTCGACTTGCAGGATCAGACGGTCACGGAAAAGCTGAGGCCCAAGGAGGATCCCCATTTGCCGGTCGTTTTGGAGAAGCACCTCTGTGCAGACAACGTCTCGTCAGGAGGACCCTGAGGGCGAGCTCGAGCCGGCGTTTCAGGTGGAGTCTCCTCAGGCCATCGGACGCCGCACCATGTGAAGTGGAGTTTGGTCGCATCTCGGCAAGGACCATCCGACACTCAAAAATGTGGACCACTTGAAGACAGACCCGGACTCGGCGCGCTTCCTTTGCTCATGTCCCGACATGTGCGCAAGTCACGAGGCCATTAAGCAGAAGAATTCCGTCAGTCTCGAGAAGATCGATGCAAGGAATATCGACATCTACTCACAAGAAGCGTGGAGCCCCAGACAGCCTTCTCTGTTGGCTCCTTCCCATGCTGCTTATGATGCTGGCAGGCTGGCGGAGCGTGGCAGCGCATCGAACGCACATCGGAAGCCCTGCGTCAGGACACCAGCGAGCCCGACCCTCGGCTTCGTGATCGGCCATTTGCCTTCCACGTGACAGCATCACTGCTAGGCGAGACTGCTACGGCTTTTTGCCGCGACGGGCAACTTGAAAGGCCGGGCGATGTGATGTGTGAAGGAAATCGGAGCATCAGTGCTGCGCAGGCACCATCTCGCTCTGCAAGTCTGTTTGCACGGTCTCTCAGTTTCACATGTCGAGGTTTGCGATGTGCATCATGCAAGTCTTCGGTGTGGTCATTTTTGCTGCAAGTGGTGTGCTTAGATCGGCAGCAGTAGCGAGCTAGGCCACTGCTGCAGTGAACAAGATGACTGCAGTAAAGATTTCGCTGCTTCCGGGCCACACCACGGTTAGATCAAGCCTGCTACCGAAACGGCAGCGTGTGCAGTGTCAGCGATGAGGGAGGTGCTTGCGCCACATAGCAGCCCTTGGCGATGATCAGTGTCTCACTGTGTGAAGTGCACAGACGCGATCAATCCATTTGAAGAAAAGCGGGGAAGAGCGCTTGAATTGCTTCGCTCAGCCAGTACTCACCTGCCAGCACGATGTGGAACGCTTCAAGCATGACAGTAGTTCAGGCTAACACGGAGGTAGGTAACCGTCTGACGGGTAACAGGCACCCATTCCACGAACTTAGCGGGGCAGAACCGGGTGCCACGAACTTCTGCGAACCTGAGGACAGATTCACGAAGGGTTCAAGGGTCAGCTGGAAGACTAACCCATGGAGAGTAGATGCCCCTGCGAACGCAGGGAAGGTTCGACGAAGTTAGCAGACGCCCACGAGGCTTCGTGCGAAGGGGCAATGGCTTAGACGAACTTAGTTTGGGGTGCCCCCCTTGCCCGGTCTAAGTGTTACCTCCCTTTGTTTTCCTCAAAGTTTTGTGCGAGTGTTGTCCAGCCCTGCCGTTCTTCAACTTTGAGTCTTACTTGTTGGCATGATTTTTCTGGCTATTCGTGAATGAAATCGGCGAATCCGTGCTCGCAGCTGGTTTTGCGGGCTCTGGGTTTCACTTGACCGCGTCGTGACCGCGTCGTGACCCGGTCGTGACCTGTCGTGACGGCGTCGTGACCACAAAACGCGTCGTGACCGAGGTGACGACATCGTCGTGTCCACGTCGTGACCGCGTCGCAACCGTCATGACCGCGTCGTGGCTGCCTCGCGTGATCGCGTTGTGGCCACAAAAGCGCCCGCGTCGCGACAACGTCGTGACCGCGTCGTGACCGCAAAAGCGTTGTGACCGCGTCGCAACCGCGTCGTGACCGTGCCGTCGTGACCGCGTCGTGACCGTAAAAACAGCGTCGTGAGCGTGTCGTGGCCGCGTGCAATCTAGAATGCGTGTAGAGACCTCGTAGCAGCTCTACGGTGAGGTGTAGCTCTGACATGCGTCTAGAGACCGCGTCGACGCGGCGAATCTTGCAAGCGAGCTTGTTTGAGGCTTTCTGCTTGATTGCCGAAGCCGGTTCTCGGATTTTCGTATACCTGCTTGATGATATTTGCCCTAGCCTCTGCCATGTGGGAGAGGCTTTTACCTGCTCGGCTAGGCTGGCGTGGCGCGGAGCCTTTGAAGAGTTTGGGCGTAGTGACCGCGTAGTGACACCGTAGTGACCCGTAGTGACGCGTAGTGACCGTTACAGCAGCACCGCGAAGAACAGTCGTAAAAGCGCTGCAAACTGCAGTAACATGCATAAGCAGCACTCGCTGCAGAGACTCGGTGAGAGACTCAGTCTTTATGGAATCTCTTACGGTGGAGACTGCAGTCTTTTTGGAGTCTCTTCGAAGTCTGCCTACTACTTCTACTGCTGCTGCTGTTGCTGCTACTGCTGCAACTTCTGCTTTGAGCAAAGATTGCAACGTTATTGAGTCATTATTGCGACATTATTGAGTCATTATTGAATCATTGTTGGCTCATATTTGACTCATTATTGAAACAAACGAAATTCTTTTTCGCTCCATTTTGACAACACAACGCGGTCACAACGCGGTCACAACGCGGTCACAACGCGGTCACAACACAACGCGGTCACAACGTGGCTGTAGTGACATTGTAGTGACGTTGTAGTGACGTCGTTGTGACGTTGTAGTGACGTTGTAGTGACGTTGTAGTGATGTTGTAGTGACGTTGCAGCAAAAGAAGCTGTATTGACATTGTAGTGGCTTTTGGAATAAGTTACCATAAGTGGCCCCTTACTTATATATTAAGCACTTGCTGGCGCGCCCTTTTTTTCAAGCCACACGCGCGCTGGGGGGCTTGCCACACGCTGGCAGGCGCGACACTTGCGTCGTTTGTGCTGGCAGGCGCGGCATCCGTGTGCTGGAGTGCGGCACTTCAGCTCTGAACTTTGCCACGCGCGCAGAGAGCTTGCCAAACGCTGGTGCACTCATGGCCACACTCACTCATCGCTCTCTCACTCTTACTTCTCAGATCTAATTCAAAACTCGAAGGGTGTTGGGCGTACGGACGACGCAAAACTGAAGAATCGATAGGGCTGAGAAAGGCCCCAGGACACAACGATCTTCGGGCCATTTGGCCGCGAAAATTTGGAAGTGAGAAACTCAAAACAAGACAAGATGTAAGGGGGTGGAATTTGTATATTGAAGTTAAACCTGGTGAACTTGGATTGCAAAGAAGTTCGAACCTGCGTTGAACCGGTTCGAAAGAAGAAGCTTCGAAAACTTCGAAGGCAAGGACGAAGAGAGAGCAAAGCTTCGAGACAAGGACAAAGGGGGCTTTGAACCAAATTGCACAAGTGATGGTTTTAAAAGCTTGGGCTTCAGGCAGACGCAAGGCGATGGTGGACGGATTAAGCTCACGCAGAAGTGCGCGGTGGCAGAAGTTGTCCACGGCCGGCCTGCCAGGCGCCGCCATCCACGAGTAAGGTCGAGCTTCTCTGCAAAGACGGGAGGATGGCATCCAGGAGCTGGGCCGGTGGCTTGTCAACAACTGCAGTAAGAAGGCCGAGTGTTGCGAAGCAACTCAAGGGAAGCAGGCACTGAAGCACGACGTTGAGATTATAGACAGACACCTGGAGTAGCTTCGGAGAGTGCTGACAGTTAAAGCCGACAACAATTGAATCAGTCTAAGTACGACGATCTAGTAGGGTCTAGAGACGACAGCATAAGAGAGAGTAGCGGTTTTTGCGGCGACATAGCGGTGCCCTCCGTTGTGGCGTCGACGCAGAGACTCGGTGAATCCGGTGTACCTGCGGGTTCACCGGGTTCACCTGCGCAGTTTGCCCACATGGGTCCGGTGAACCCGGTGTACCCGCAGGTTCACCAGGTACACCTGCGCCGGTTTTGCCCTTAGGTGCAACGTTGTCGCGTCGTCGTTGTTGCCGCGTCGTCGTCGTGCACGCGCGTTCGTCGCCCCCCCAGCATACTCGGAACCTGGCAGGGAGAAGCCCTGAGAGGCCTCCAAGGCTTGCTGGTGGGTTAGAAGCGCAGTGAGGCCTCTAAGGGTTGCTGGCAGGGGTTAGGAGTGCAGGAGGCCTTTAAGGGTTGCTGGCAGGGGTCAGGAGCGCAGTTAGAGGCCTCTAAGGGTTGCTGGCAGGTTAGGAGCGCAGTGAGAGGCCTCTAAGGTTGCTGGCAGGGGTCAGGAGCGCAGTGAGAGGCCTCCGCCATTTTCATGATGATGGGAGAGAATATCTTTACTGTTTAGACACTGGAGATACCCAATGGGTGGTGCCTGAGAAGACTGGAATGGCTGAAAGCAGTGAGGTGTCAGGCGTTGGAGTGGGCATTGTCCCTGCGGAAGATGAGCCAGCACTGGGTACTACCTCGTCTTCGTCGCCGACTGAGTCTTTTAGGGCACAACAGGGTAGCTTGGACAGTGTGAACAGTGGTGTAAATAGTGTAGCTGAAAAAGATTTTTCCTCTACTATCGGGGATAGCGGTCTTAGGGGTGGTACTGACGCTCAGACCTCGGGTTCTCCTGAAGAGGAAGGAATTTCTGGAAACCAAGCAGACATCGCTGGAGAACATCTGGATCGGGAAGAAATGGAAGTGCTTTCTGAGGGTGTGGCAGCGGTGGAATCGGTGGGTCCAGAAAACAAAGTGCCCAATGCGGAGGTTGGAACTGTGTCGGCTGCAGAAGAGCGAGTGGTGGATGTGGTACCTGTCGTTCAGGGAAGTGGTCCTGGAGTTTCGGATGACGAAAGGAAAAAGTTGTGCATTACGACTGAGGAGGTCTCTTCGTTTGGTGCCGAGAATTCTGCCAGTCAAAGGGAAAAGGGGTCAGGAGCGCAGTGAGAGGCCTCTAAGGGTTGCTGGCAGGGGTCAGAAGCGCAGCTGTCCAAATTTCCTTGAATTTTTAATTTGTGATATCTAGGGATCTTCATTTTCATGAAAAGCAGCAAGTGCAGGCTGAAACCTTCCCAGATCATCTTTGAGCGGCACTTTGGAGTCCATGGCGACTGTTACATTATCAAGGCAGGGCGTTTTGGAAGCAGCTCCCTGCAATTGTGTTCGTGCAGCTCAGCTCTGCTCAATCATTTCGTGCGCTTGTTTGACCTGAGTGCCTTGAAGGTCGCAGTGATCCAGATAATGACCGTCCTCCTGCAAGCCTTCGGGAAGGCGGTCGTTCTCACGAATCGTAGGAAAGATGCCTCTGGTGCTCCCCAAAATTTTCGGGATCATACAAAGTGCTCGCAGTACACCAGTAAGCGTCTAAATCAATGCAATCCAAGACGTGCAGGCCGCACTCCCGCCCAGGTACCGCTTCTGGGAGGAACCGTCGCATTTGCAATGCATCAGAACATCCCAGCAGCCTCACCACTGAAACGATACTTCTGGATCTTCTGCGCGCTGCTGGCCTTCAACAGCCTTTACCCGAGCATTCTCTTTGTGCGGCCAGATTCCCGCTGGTGTCGCTACGGCTCCTCGGAGTGAGTGCGAGCGAGTGACGGTGAGGGGAAGTAGACAGCGTGTCTGCGTGCGGGGGACAAAGCCGAGGTGCTGCCGTCATGGACGTGGTGATGGATCTGGGGTACTTGCTCACCTACTTGCTCGCCGTGGCTCCTTGACAGGAAAAGCAAGGTTTAGAGAAGGGGGTGCCGGGAGTTAAGCACGGCTCAGGTGACTGCCATGTCCGAGCTGACGCTGGAGATGACCGTGCGTGGCAACTTCGGGAATGCGGAGGAGCTGGACCTCAGCAACAGCAGCTTGAGCAGACTTATTAATGCTGTAGCATAACAATAATATAGTAAAGTAATGATGGTAGTCATGAGCACGAATGTAGTGTCACCAGAACTTTCGATACAAGCTCGGGCCATGTGTGCTTTACGAGGCATAAGCCCAAGCTTCGCCTTTCCCGGTGACATCCTGCAGTACCTGGCGGTGTACATCAGCATTGCGCACACCTGTTGTGCCTGCCGCTCCGTCGAGCGTGCCAGGGATTTGGGCAGTCAGGGCGAAAGCCATTCTGTGAAGCCAGAGCAATCGAAGCAAACTGACAGCACGATCTTTTTTTCCGGTAATGGCCGGCTCGTGCTGAGATGCCTCAGGGCACTGTACTCCCCCATCCTGCTGCTGGTACTTTTTCTGTTGCTTCGCTCCCCGGACATGTACCCTGGCCACTCCGGCGACTTCAGATGCTTCCCGTGCCGCTGCTCTCAGGGGGCGAGGCCCCGCCTGGCAAGCTGCGGGTTAGCAGCCGCACTCCGACAGTCGGAGCTGGTCCTGACCGACCTTGCCAGCGTCGCCGAAGAAGCCTTCGACCCTTTTGGCTGCTCTCTGCGACGGCTATCTTTGACCAACAGCACATTGACCTCCCTGCCACCCAAGAGATTCCGGCGCCTGAGCTGCCTTGAAGTCCTGCACCTGGGCAGAAACAACCTCGAGCAGCTGGAGGATGAGGCCTTCGGCGGCCTGGCGCAGCTGCGCGTCCTGTCGCTCAGCCAAAACAATCTCGCCGACCTCCCCACCCAGGTTCTCAAACCGCTGCTCAACCTGGAACAGCTCCTTCTAGGTGGCAAGACCCGCAATGGCTTCATCATCGTGAGTGGGAACCTGCTAACGCGTTTGCCGGACTTCGCGCAGAACCCTCGGCTGGAAGTGCTGGATGTCAGCGAGAACGAGCTGAAGGCCTTGGAGGACGGCACCTTCGCCCAGCTCCACAGCCTCCGTGTCCTGGACCTCAGCAACAACAATCTCGACACCGTCTCCAACCGCACCTTTGCGGGCTTGACCTCGCTTCAGACACTGGATTTGACCAACAACTGGCTGGTAGAGCTGCCGGAAGCGGTCTTCCAGGGCTTGACCGGGCTTCTAAAACTGGATGTGCACGGCATCGCGCTGAGAGAGCTGCCGGAAGCGGTCTTTCGGGGCTTGACCTCGCTTCAGACGCTGGATTTGCACAATAACATGCTAGGAGAGCTGCCGGACGCGGTCTTCCAGGGCTTGACCTCGCTTCACACGCTGTATTTGCACGGAAATAGGCTGCTGGGAGAGCTGCCAGACGCGGTCTTCCAGGGCTTGACCTCGCTTCAGACGCTGGATTTGCGCGGCACCATGCTAAGAGAGCTGCCGGACGCGGTCTTCCAGGGCTTGACCTCGCTTCAGACGCTGGATTTGCTCGAAAACAAGCTGGCGGAGCTGCCGGAAGAAGTCTTACAGGGCTTGACCTCGCTTCAGACGCTGGATTTGGCCTTCAACAACCTGGCGGAGCTGCCGGAAGGAGTTTTCCAGCACTTGACCTCGCTTCAGAGGCTGTATTTGAGCAACAACAGGCTGGGAGAGCTGCCGGACGCGGTCTTCCAGGGCTTGACCTCGCTTCAGACGCTGTATTTGCGCAACAACAGGCTGGGAGAGCTGCCGGACGCGGTCTTCCAGGGCTTGACCTCGCTTCAGACGCTGTATTTGCTCGACAACAAGCTGGCGGAGCTGCCGGAAGGAGTTTTCCAGGGCTTGACCTCGCTTCAGACGCTGGATTTGCACAATAACAGGCTGGGAGAGCTGCCGGACGCGGTCTTCCAGGGCTTGACCTCGCTTCACACGCTGTATTTGCACGGAAATAGGCTGCTGGGAGAGCTGCCAGACGCGGTCTTCCAGGGCTTGACCTCGCTTCAGACGCTGGATGCACAATAACAGGCTGGGAGAGCTGCCAGACGCGGTCTTACAGGGCTTGACCTCGCTTCAGACGCTGGATTTGGCCTTCAACAACCTGGCGGAGCTGCTGGAAGGAGTTTTCCAGGGCTTGACCTCGCTTCAGACGCTGGATTTGCACAATAACAGGCTGGGAGAGCTGCCGGACGCGGTCTTCCAGGGCTTGACCTCGCTTCACACGCTGTATTTGCGCAGAAATAGGCTGCTGGGAGAGCTGCCAGACGCGGTCTTCCAGGGCTTGACCTCGCTTCAGACGCTGGATTTGCGCGGCACCATGCTAAGAGAGCTGCCGGACGCGGTCTTCCAGGGCTTGACCTCGCTTCAGACGCTGTGTTTGCGCAACAACAGGCTGGGAGAGCTGCCGGACGCGGTCTTCCAGGGCTTGACCTCGCTTCACACGCTGTATTTGCACGGAAATAGGCTGGCGGAGCTGCCGGAAGGAGTTTTTCAGGGCTTGACCTCGCTTCATGGGCTTGACCTCGCTTCAGAGGCTGTATTTGAGCAACAACAGGCTGGGAGAGCTGCCGGAAGGAGTCTTCCAGGGCTTGACCTCGCTTCAGAGGCTGTATTTGAGCAACAACAAGCTGGGAGAGCTGCCGGAAAGAGTCTTCCAGGGCTTGACCTCGCTTCAGAGGCTGTCTTTGAGCAACAACAAGCTGGCATGGCAAGTGAAGCACTGTGTTGAGGCCACCATGAGCTGTGAAAATTGCAGCTGCGAGGCTTCTTGACGCCTCGGTTTGTGTTGCATGGTGCTCCTTTGTTTTAATTGATCTTGATTGCTTAGAAAGAGCATATCTTCTGCAGGGCTGAGCCCAGAAGCCCGAGGCAACTCGACCACTGCTGGAGACGAAAGCCTGCGAAATTTAAATCATGTGCAACTCTACCTATAGTCTCCATTGTAGTTCCTTGTTTACAGGATCCTAACCAATCTCTTGGTCAACCGAAAAAGGAATTACCATGGAGACTATATGAAAGCCTGCTCTCCGCTGCTGGGCCTTCCCAGGTCTCTCCGAAACGAGAGGCGGCATCCTCCATGAGCGGGTTTCGGGTTTAGAGTTAGGGTTTCGGGTTTAGGGAGTTTGGGGTTTGGGGTTCTGGTTTAGGGAGTTGGGATTCAGGGAGTTTAGGGTCAAGGGAGTTTCGGGTTTAAGGTTTAGGGGTAAGGGAGTTTAGGGTCTAGGGATACTCTGCTACTGGGTGTCTTGACTGCCTTTCAGTAGACACGCTTGAGGGATTCGAAGGGATTGTATTGGTCCTGGGCTGCTTGGGCTTGTCGAGCGTTTTTTTTTCTGATGGTAGAAAGTCGCTGCGCGATGGAGAGCTTGGCGCCCGGAGCTTTCTGAATCGCAGTAGGAGTTGGCGCACCGTCGCGGCAGGACTTGGAGCTGAAGACATGCGACACGATTTGCTGTCACCGCTGCCGTGGACTGTGGCCATACAGAAAGAAATCGGTTCAAACATGGCGATCATGCTTGCCAAGTCGCTGCTTCACAGCACAAAGGCAGTGCGCAAAGGGGTCCAATTCGCGGACTTGCGAAAAGTCACCCTGTTGATTGCCTGGTTGTGAGGCTCCCAAACGACTTCAGGCTGCTTGTCTGCAACCTGCCCAATACCAATGGGTCAACAGGAAGAGTCAAACAAATCTGGCCAATGCGAAGAACGATGTGCACACGGAAGTCATCTGGGCAGCGTCCAGCTCTGTACATATAAGTCAAAGGAGGCAATCACTCTTTCCAGCGGACTGTCTCTCTGCACCACCAGTGCAGGCCAAACAGGGTCTCAAGTTGATGCTTTGCGTACAGTCATCGTGTAAGACCATCATGGCCTGGATGGATACTATCCAAGCATGATGCCATGAGGCTCCCCGGCCTTCAGGCTACGGCTTCGCTGCAACCTCCCAATCGCGACGAATGGGTGAATGGGCTAGGCTTGGCCTGGTATGGCAGAGAACTTTGCGGTGCAGCAGTTCTGGCTTGCACAAGGAAGTCATCTGCGTGGTGCGGAATGACAAACGTGTGCCTTGTCAGAAACTTCTCCAGCCTCGTGAACCTGCATCGTGTGCTGTCCCTTTCCATATGTCGGTGCGAAACCATTGTCACGAGGAATCGTAGGCACTGCGGAGAAGCTGCGTCGAAAGTGGCTTCGCAGCGGGGGCAAACCTTTTCATGCACAGCACTGCAGAAGTCAACCATTTAGTCATGACACGTTCCTTCTGGACTGGTGCTTTGGACTCGCATGGAAGGAATGCTTAATGGGTCATTTTGTCATATCTCCGCAAAAAGCCGACCACTCCAGCTGTTCAAGGCACATGCACACGTGCCAGACGTTTCACCTTATGTATGTTTGCTTTTGGGCTTATGTGCGAAAGATACCTCAAAATCCTTTTCGCACCTCCCCCCCCCTCCACTCTGGGATAGGGAGTATGCTGATATGGTTCTACTTCCGAGCTCGGCTGATCAGCTGAATCGTTTCCTCCACGAATTGAGGGACACAAACAAGGCCTGCAATAAGGATCGGTGTGAACACCTCGCCTTATACAGATCGCGGTATCTTTTCCTCTCCCTCCTTACAAGACTCCTGGACACGTGTAGATGTTGCACACGCCCTTTTCACATCGGCGCTCGTGCAAGTCTCGTTTCGCACGGAAAGAACTACTTGCTTATCAGGGATCAAGAACTGATTCGCTTTGAATTTGAAGCACTCCCAGCATGGTTTCCAGCACAGGACACACAAGGCCTTCCCTGTCGATGAAGAGCCCTTCCTGCAACACTTCGTGCTACAAGCAAAACGCCACGAAGACGCGAGACTTACCTCGGAGATGTCGCCGTAGCAGACCAATCTGCGTTATAGAGATCCTCAATGTCAGACGTCGCGTTGTTCTGAGATCCATCCTTGCGGCTTCCGGCAGCAAAACGCTCCTTGCTGCAAGAAAGCGGCGCTGCTGCAATTCTGTCTGAGAGTGGTGCTGCCCATTCTTTCTCATCGTCAGTGTTTATGTCATGAAAAGACCTGCGCAACGTCAAGGCAGTTCCACACCAAATGCACAGGCTAATGCCAAGACTACTTGCGAACTTGCTACGACAATTCTGAGGAGTGTACGGTTTTCCACCTGCAACAGGAAGGTATCCAGCTCGCGCGGCGCCCTTGGCTCCTGCAGCACACGCAGCCCAGGACATGCGCTGTGCACCACGTGTCAATGCACAAGAGGACTTTGCACGCGCCCAATGCCTTGTCAGGATTTCGTAGGCTCAGGGCCACAAAGCAACGTTTCAGTGTTCTGCATAAACCTGGACCGACTGCCGGCTCCATGAAAGAAGAAAGCAGCCAGGGCGCGCTTGCTTTCGTAGGTGCTCATAAGCTTTCGTTGACAACCAAAACGTTTAACTGCTACAACAACAGTTTCTTCAGCAGCAGTGACGGCTGCGTGAGCGTGGGTAATCAAAACGCTACAGGCTTGAACAGCAGTTGGAGAGCAGTCCGACAACTACACAAGTTGAAATTGTCGCGTGTCATGAGCTGGCTGAACCCGGCAAAGCACGGGGTCTTCTGCGGCTGTAGCAGCGAGTACCCGCATCACGGAAGCAATGCTGCTGAATGCTGAGTGCTATTCCCCAATGTGCCGTCGTCTTGTTGCACTTAGGGTTGTGAAGTGCTAATTGGTATATTCTGGGTTGAACAAAATAATTAACAAAGCTGAAACAAAGGTAAACTAAAGATGAACGGGGAAAGGTAGAAAAAAGGTAAGGGAGGAGGTGTGGGGGACAGCGAAGGTGAGCGAAAGGTAAACTAAAGGTGAATGGGAAAGGTAGGAAAAAGGTAGGGAGGATAACCTAAAGGTGAATGTGGTTCGTCGGGGGAAGGGAAGAGGTGTGGGAGTAGGGTATGCTGCCGCTGCCGGTAGGGACGAGCCTGCTTGGCCACCTTTTGGGTGGCGTGGGGCGTGGCGGCCACCTTTTCGCCACTTTTTGCACGGGCGCCGGGCGGGGGTCGAGATCCGTCGGGGTTGGGGCACGTCCGAGTCGCATTTTTCCTAGGAAAAAGGTGAGAAAAAAAGGTGAACAAAAGGTGAAAAAGGGTGAAACGAAGGTGGAACAAAGGTGGAACAAAGGTGGAACAAAGGTGGAGACAAAGGTGGAGACAGAGGTGAAACAAAGGTGGAGCCATAGGTGGGGCCGCCGCCCCCCCCCCCCCCCCCCCCCCCCCGACCCCGTCGCCGCTGCGCCGCCGCACCACCGCCGCCGCCGCTGCACCGCCACTTTCTTTTACCTTTCATATCCAGCATCACATGCTTCCGCTTTAGCATTAGCATTACCACCTCTCTGTTACCTCTCATATCCAGCGTCACTTTTTTTCACCTTTGCATATGAAGCATCACCTTTTTTCCACCTTTGCATGACCACCTTTGTTTTACCTTTGTTTTACCTTTTTAATTCTTGAGCTACTTCCAGAATATACCATTCCGAGTACGTCACAAACTGAGGGCTTAATGAGAAAGCATGGCCCCTATACATCAGCAGGACCGACGTGTTTTCCATGATTCCATCATGGCCCATGAAGTCTGATACTTCCAAGCACGTGCCAAGAGAAGCGAAGTCACGACAGCACGTGTGAAGTCACGTCGCAAGTGGGCTCAAGTCTTCAAGCGTCTGTCTAGCTGCGTATACGACCCAGCTTTGCTGATCAGGAATCTAGGGGTTTGGGGGGGGGGAAAACCAACTTGGGGCAAATGTGTTCGGGGCCGAAGGCTAGGTTTTTCGCTCTCCGCGCTATTTCATCTTCGGATGGGCGCGTGACAAATCGTACCTGCGGGTATTCACTCAATCTTCACTTGCTGTGTCTTGGACATTTTGACACGGTCATTTCGCACAAAGCAGCAATCTGGACCGAAACAATTTGTGCACACCCACGTCATATCATGGAGCCCGCAAGTAGACTTGACTTGGAAATACAATACACTTTGACAATGATGCAAAAGCCTTCTTTTGTTTGATGACTTGCAGGGAGCCAGTTTATCTTGTGCTGGATCCTTTGTGTCCTTTCTTCGGCCAATTGGGGCGTGGGGTAGGGGTCAGGTTCGGGCTTATTCTCGAAGTTGATTTGACGTCTGCTAGTTCCAGGCTCGAGACAAGGTCCAACCGACTTGTAGATGTTGATGCTTCCACGAACGCGGGCACGGAGCGCCCCGGAGCGCGAGTGCCAGCTAGAGGTTGACAGGCCTCTGTCACCACCGTCCGTCGCAGATTCAAAATAGGACATGTCCACAGGAGCTAGAGTAACTAGAGATTTCCGGAGCGAATTGTCAGAACGGAGCAGCTGTTGCCGTGGATATTGGACGTCGTGGCAATGCACAAAAGACCCTATGATCAGGTGCCCAGATTTCTCCGCAGAGGCTGTGTACAATGGCCCGCTGCGCTTTTTCCCGACGGCGTATCCCGTCTCCGCTGGCGACTCAGTGTTGGCCCATTGGCCTGAAATTTGGCCTCGCCAAAATGACGATTGTCTAGATAGTGAGCGTGATTCAAATGCGCTCCTCCATGGCTGTTTGTTGCCCTTGTTTGTGCTTGGTTACGCGCGAGTGGGTTCTATGATGTAGTCAGATATTGACATTGAGAATTGCCTCTTTGCTAAGGCCCTTTGCAGCGACTTGGGAATCTTGGGACACCGGCATGAGCTTCTGCTTCAACGGTGCCTGATTGCATCTATCAGTCTGCCTTCGCTGCGAAAGGCATTGGATGGCGAGATCGTGGATGAGCTCGATGACGGTGAGATCTCCTGGCCGAGGCCGAGAGCGTCTGTGTTCATACGTCATGCTGTAACTCTTTAACCGTGTGTGTGTGTGTGTGTGTGTGTGTGTGTGTGTGTGTGTGTGTGTGTGTGTGTGTGTGTGTGTGTGTGTGTGTGTGTGTGTGTGTGTGTGTGTGTGTGTGTGTGTGTGTGTGTGTGTGTGTGTGTGGTTGTGTGTGTGTGTGTGTGTGTGTGTGTGTGTGTGTGTGTGTGTGTGTGTGTGTGTGTGTGTGTGTGTGTGTGTGTGTGTGTGTGTGTGTGTGTGTGTGTGTGTGTGTGTGTGTGTGTGTGTGTGTGTGTGTGTGTGTGTGGGTGTGTGTGTGTGTGTGTGTGTGTGTGTGTGTGTGTGTGTGGGGGTGTGTGTGTGTGTGTGTGTGTGTGTGTGTGTGTGTGTGTGTGTGTGTGTGTGTGTGTGTGTGTGTGTGTGTGTGTGTGTGTGTGTGTGTGTGTGTGTGTGTGTGTGTGTGTGTGTGTGTGTGTGTGCGTGCTTTCAACGATGACCGTGTAGCCAGAGACAGGAGCGTGGTTCGCCTCAACAGAACTGGCTGGCGCGTTGCCTCCGTTGCTGCATCTCGGACTTTAAAATCGTCAGATATCTTGAGGCGCGAGATTCTAGCCGCAGTTTGGTTAGGTGTGTCGGGCGCAGACTTGCCGCGCCGGGTAGATCCTGTCATGGCGGCGCTGCGTGACAGGACTGGCGTTTGCGAACTTTCGGAAATCAAGCGTGGCGATTGCTTTGTCTGTTTGGCATGAGGCTTGTGTCCTCACCAGGAGCTGACAGAGTGTGATGGGATTCCAACTCCGCATGGACCTTCAAGCGCGTGTAGATGGTGGGGCTTATCTGGGCTTATCTTCAATGACTGCAGACCCCCGACAAGACCCACCAATTTCCAAGCAAGGAATCCGACCGTGCTTTCCGCGCTATTTTCATCTTCGGAGGGGTGCGTAGCAAATCGTATGCCCTCCAGCAAATCGTATCCCCTCTATAGTTGGACTCATCTGTGAAAAAACAGCTCGCGCCACGTTCTTGCGACCAGCAGGACAGGCGAACGCAAGCCATTTGGTCATGGTGTCAGGATTTGTTGCGTATGGACCAGATTGGTTCTTTGTGCGAAATGACCGTGTCAGAAATGTCCAAAACACGGCAAGAAGAACATATGCAAATGAATACCCGCAGCTCGCAGGAGGAAATTTTTCAGGGGGTACGATGGGTACGATTTTGTTGCTGACTAGATCGGCTGAAACAGAGTGAAACGTTCTAAGTCCCTGACGTCCCTCTTTGTCTTTTCCCCCTATGGTAGCCGGGCTTACGTCCCTGCGCTCGTCACTCTACGTCCCTCCTCTACGTTCGAGTCCAGACACACCAAGGATTCAGCACATAGTAGTTGTTAAAGAAAAATTATGACATACATACGAAGCCCTAATCTTCAAAAATGCAAAAACACAGCAGCAGCAACAAGCACCCAAAAGGCATGGCTAGACGGGAGCAACCGCAACGCAGCATTGCAGTGGGCTCCTACCTGTTCCTAGCAGCCCATTCCGAGTACTGCTTTCATGGATTCTTTTCGGTAAACCTTCCGTCCAGGGACGCACGTAGCAAGGTTAGCTGGCGCGGTGTTTTTTCAGCGCTTGAAGGTGAGATCGAGCCCTTATTGAGCCTCCTGGCCCAGCCGTTCTTGGTTGTGACTTGAGGGTCCTGGCCCTGGCCCACCGCAGGGTCGCCGAGTGAAAAGCAAGAGAGTAGCAGTAAGAGCAGCGACAACGGCTCCCGCATTTTTTCAAACATTTCCATTCAGGTTTTCACAGGATCTCAGCGTATTCACTGCCGAGAAGATGATGCCCGTATGAACGTCAGACTTCCTCCTTTCCTTTCGGTGACTTTTGCAACCATTTCTTCGGCCCTTCAAGTCATGAAATACCAGACCATATCATCAGAGTCATCATGGAACCCTACTTTCGTTGTCCGAGATTCCGTTTTGAGATTCAGTATTCACACCCAGACTACAGGTCTCCGGCAAGTTCGCAATCTCTACCCTACCTTTCTCCGTTATTTTAACGTGCGTCTGCTGCTTGTATGGTGAAATCTCAAGATCTTTTCCGCACCTCTCCCTCCACTCTGGGATATGGAGTGTGCTGATATGGTTCTACTTCCGAGCTCGGCTGATCAGCTGAATCGTTTCCTCCACGAATTGAAGGACACAAACAAGGCGTGCAACCTTAATAAGGATCGGTGTGAACACCTCGCCTTATACAGATCGCGGTGTCTTTTCCTCCCCCTCCTTACAAGACTCCTGGACACAGGTAGATGTTGCACACGCCCTTCTCACAACAGCCCTTCACTCCCCATGGAAGTTGCAAGTGTCCGTGCAATTATTCAATTCATCCTCGTGTATGCAATGGAAAACTCTCCCTTACATCCTCTCATCTCAACATATTCGCAAAACAGTTCAAGTCCGGCTTGTGTATTCCCACAGAGCTATCGAGCCCAGGGAGGCCCTTTTGGGACATCAAATAGGGTCAGCAGACCACGTGCCCACAGGGCTGAGTCAGGCCTCACTGAAGCACGGCCATGCAGTCTTTTTTCCGGATTCCTACTCAGGCAGATATTCGTACATGCACATTCCTGTTCCACAACAATTGGTACGTGCAATGAGTTGTCTAGGGCGGTTTGCCTTTGAGCCCAGGATAGGGATCGATGGAGATCGCTTGTACACAAACCCGAAAACCCGCACGCAGGTGACATCATGTGGCTATTAGATTTTATGTTCAAGGTTCCTGAGAACCCGAGTAGTTTGAGATCCGGTCGCTGCTGATGGTCGCTGCAGTGTGATTTTCGTGTGAAAAACGTCTCGCTGAAGACCTTGAAAGAGCCATTTGAAAAGGGGTTTTTGGTGGCCAGCGGTCTACAGCAGGCAGCACTCTTGCGCGACGATGTCGCCACAGACACGAGCGGTTCCATATAGCGAGGGTGGCTGCACATGATGTGACGCACTGCTTATCCGCGAAAAACTTTGCGTTTGCATTTAGTTGCTGAAGTGTACTCGACGCCGCAAACGTCATTCATTCATCGGCGCTTGTGCACATCTCGTCTCGCACGGAAAGAACGACTTGCTTGCCGGCGATAAACGCTCAACAGTGCGATGTTGCGACGGCACTTTGGCTTGTATATGACAAGCAATCCAATAGCGCGGCTCTGTCCAGCGCCGATGTGGCTTTGCAGGCGACGAGTCCAGCTGTCTGGGTCGGGCATACTAGACTTCAGGAAGAATGCGTCGAACAAATAGTTTGAAGGGTTTGAGCTTCGATGCAACAAGCTTGCCTAGGCAACCACACCACATGTGAGGGTCAGTTCAGTTCGACTTGTCAGTCGGCGCCCCACGCAGTGCCACGTCACGACCATCCCAGGCAGCCCCGGCGTTCAGGATTAGGGGAGGACGCTTGTCTGAGGGCTTGCTGTCGTTGTCGGCTGCTTTCGCAGGCCTCCGGAGAGAAGCCCGGGCATTTGCTGTTTGTGTGCTGACCCTGGTGCAAGCTGTGTACTCGCTCCACTCAGGGATATTTGGGTTGATTCCGTTTGCATTGTATACACGAAGAGCATGCGCCTGCAAGGCGGCAGCCGCACTGGGCGTGTCCACCTTCCACATTAGCTGTGTTGGTAGTGGTCACACCGACCAATGAGTTGTATTTGCACCTTGGTGCCAGGCATACATACTCGCCTCAGCTCAGGCAAGTGCGCAAGTAGATTTTGGGTTAAGGATACATTATGGAAACTTGCACTTGCCAATTAGGTTCTCTTTTTGCCCTTCTGCTTCTGGCACTGTCCTGAGTCAGTCCATGATGGGGTCCCTGAGAGCCCTAAACACATGCTTATGCTTGAGTACTGACGCGTCAATTGCAAGGCTTGGTGCCCTTCAGGCAGGCATGGTGGAAGCTTGCAAGTATGATCCAATTGCACACGCTGCGGCAAAAAGGATGGTTGGCAGATGCGCCAGGCCTTCCAGAAGCTGTGCCACCCAAAGCATGGCCGAAGGTGAGGCTGCTACTGGCAAAGGCGAACGCGTGTGACTGCTTGTGGGGCTTTTGCCCCAGAACTGAGCCGAGGATGTTTCATGTCAAGAGAGATTTGATGCTGATGCGATTGGGCCAAGTTCCACTCTGATGCCAGCCAGTGTCCCGCACCATGTGCCTACTTCAGTTATATCGAACAAATCTGAATCAAACCTCCAGTCCAACATTCCTGTTCTCATCCCATGTGTACGAGGATTCGTGAACTTGACTTGACATTGCCCAGTGATGTAGAAGCCTGCGCCATGGCAGCGATGTCCTTCCCTTAACGGCGCGCTGTGCGTCCAGGGAATCAAGGCCCAGTCAACGGGAGGCTAGAAGCAGCAGTTGCAAGCTTCCAAGAAATGTAGACCAACAATTGCCGAACGCTGAGCTGATGCTGCAGCAACTGTGCAGGCTCCCAGCGAAGCCGCAGCCGAAAGCGCAGCCGCAAAGAGAGTCGTAGCCGTCATAGCCGAAGCCGGAGACGGCGGCGAGTTAGCAGTTAGCATAGAGAAGCGTGCTTCTGCTTATGGATGCAGAGCTTGATGGAGAAGAAGGTTGTTATTCAGCGAAATACTTTACTGTACCTCAAGTTCTGAGAAGCCATGTGTTGCTACAGCGGCATGTTGCACGGCATGTCCCATAGTCTCACCACTGTCACGTGCCGTGACCACAGGGAACAAAACAGGGCAATTGGGAAGCTTGCAGTTTATGAAAGGCTCGTTTGTTGCATGGGTTGCCTCACTAGCATGGATCAGGACAGCCAAAGCTACGGAAGTACTTCTTCGGGGACATATACCGACAAGGTGCACGTGATTGTAAAGCTCATGCAACCTTGCCTCACAGAGTACCAATGCATCCTGCAAGCAAGTCTTGCTGAAGAAACAGAAAGGGTTCGGGAAACTAGGATGCTAGAAACTCCATACGACATCAGTGCCACTGCATTCCAGGTCTTCTCTCCGCACGCAATTTGGGACACCAGTGGGGGGGCGGGGGCAGGATGGCAATCTCACACAGGGGGGTGGGAAGAATCAAGCCGGGACGTCCAGGTTCTGAAGCCGCGGTTTCCAACTCCCTTTCCCAGTTCTAAGCCGAAACCCCTCTGGTCCCTGCACGGCATGCCGCTGCTTGCAGGCAACTATGTGCCTCTTCATCCAGAGCTCTTCGAAAACCCTCGGGAGAACTTAAAGAGGCCAATCGTTTGGGACCCATCTGGGGGAACTTAAGGGCTCGTTTCTTTCGAAACGGTCCGTGCGAAGGTGGCTGGCGCCAAGCTTCTTAGCTGCTGTCTCGGCGAGAGACGGGGAGAAAAGTCTAAAAGAGGTGGGTTGCGCCAAGAACGCACCAAGAACCATGCCGTTGTGAGGGTTTACGAGGGCTTTGTGAGGGCGTGTTAGGGTCTTCATCAGGCGCTGCGAGAAGATGCTCCGAGCATTTACTCGTTCGAGCTGTTCAATGCAGAGTCGCCCTGGCATGCGGACTTGGGACTTTGTGGAGTAGGTTCGTGCTGCAGAGTGGCATGCGCGGAGGGAGGGAGATCAGTCCACCACTTGCCTGCCAGATTCTGTGCGAAGCTGCTGGAGGTGCCGGGGGACTGGGCGAGGTAGGCTTTGCAGTCTGCCTCAAGTGCCCAGCAGTAGGCGAGCCTTCGTCTTCCTCTCAAGCCACGGCAGTTGTGCATTGTCTTATAGGTATGAAAGGGGTGGTAGCTTGGAAGCAACCGAGTAGGAGGGAAGCCACTCAGATGTTGCGTGGATCTACGTTAGCCGGGCGTCCCACCGGTTGATGGAAGTGATGAGAACGCCGGAATGTCAGGGCAGAGCAGCCTGCTGGAGGCTGGGGCTTCACGGCAGCTCCTGCAGCGTCTTGGAGGCTCCTGGAGGAGGTGCAGAAGACAGCGCGGACACTACAGAGATTTTGTTGGGTTCGAGCAACATGAGGATGAGGACCGTAGCCCCGGGCTGGGCTTTGTACTGCGATCTGTGTGGCAGGTGCCGGATGGATGAAAGCCATTTCCTCACGTTCATCGTCAGCATAACTTTTTCATACAGACGATGAACGCGAGGAAATGGCTTTCATCCATCCCTTTGAGAACCTTCACCAGCAAGCTGCCAAAGCACTGTGCTGCAGAAGGCTGCACTGCAGAAGGCACCGGTGCAGAAGGGCCGGATGGACTACTGGAAGTGGCGAAATGGAATGTTGTTCACTAAACAGAGGAGGAAGGACATAAAAAGAGCTAACAATCAGAAGGTGCGGCAGAAAGCGCGCCAAGGTCAGCGGCAGTCCAGGGGCGTCTGAGGCCAACTTGTCTCAGGCTGGCCCGGCGACCAAGCTGGCTCGTGACGCACCGAGGCCGTCTCGTCGAGGCTGGCTCCCCTCTCAGCGCGGTCAGCGGCAGTTCTGGGGCATCTGAGCCCGACCTGTCTCAGGCTCGTCACCGGACCGGTCTCAGCTCCCTGAGGACGTCATTTTGTGCTCTTTTGTCGCGGAGTCGGAAACCGGAGTGTGTTGGAGGATGAAGAAGATTCTTGCCAGAAGTTCAAGAAGAAGCTGTGCAAGGTCCCCGTTCCGCTGGAACCGGGACCTTGCACAGCTTCGTTCATCTGAACCACCGTGTTGCTTTGCCATTTTTGCAATTTCTGAACATCTGATGGCACCAGAAGATATGCAAAAATGGCAAAGCAACGCAGTTGTTCAGATGAACGAGGCCCGGCTCATGGTGGAAGCTCGAAGGAGATCACCAAGCTGGAAAAGGAGCAAGAAGAAGCGAATGAAGCACTGAAGAGCACGCAGCAATTTTGGCATGATGTCCTTTCCGACCAACCATTGTATCGAATGTATCGACAGAGGTTGCGCCAAAGGCAGCAGCAACGAGAGGCGCTAGCACAGAAGTCATCTCGCTGCTGTTCTAGTTGCAAGCCTAGGCGAAGTCTATGAACTTTGCCTTCAAACATGTGCACTTGCGACCGAACAAGCAATCCCTTCAACTGAGGCACCTGGATAAGGGTTCGGGGTGCTTCCGGGCTGCAGAAGTGGCTCAGTGAAGCTTGTTGCCGGAGTGGAACCGGGTCTCATGACTTGCGGGCAGTCCATTCCACACCCAATGAGGCCAATGCACTGAGCACGTACATGTGTCTATTGCAGTGTTGGAGGAAGTGAGCCACGCGCAGCAGACGGCCCGCGAGGCTCTGCAAGCACAAGTGCTTGATCTGGTATCTGCCTTCTCCCCATATGAGCTTCCACACTCTCTGTTCATGCACATCCATCAGAGATGCATAGATGGTAGTATTGGTAGTGGATGTTACTCGTAGCTCCCTGGGCTGAATCTTTTCAAATCGATGTGCAGGCTCTGGATCGGCCCAACGGGATGAATAGGTGCGGCTAGCTGGGTAGCATCCGCAGCAAGCCGCAGGAACATCGTCGGCAGATATCAGAAGGCATCTAGCAGATTCCAGAACGTACCAATGTGCCCAAAATGTGCCTAAAAAGTTCCCAAAATGTGCCCAACATGTGCGTGAAAAGCTGCTTCACTCTCGACGGTCCTGTGCACTTCCGACCAAAGGAGTTGCAAAACCACAAGGGCTACACTGAACTGCGAGAGGTACGGACTCGTGCTGAATCAGCTGGGCACTGGGCACAGAAGGCTTGCATTCAGCAGCTGCAGCAGACAACGTGGATGTTGCAGCGACTGCAACAGTACCAGTCGAGGCAGCAGTCGATGAACAAAGCATCGCTAGGGTGTGAGTGTAACATCCTTCTGTGCGTGTCAGTTGTCGTGAGTTCTTTCGACATGGTCTGCGGCCCAGGTTTGGAGCCACTCATATCTGAGCTTCAGCAGGACCTTTCGCCAAGGGCCACAAGCCGTGTTTCAGTTTCGCAGCGTGTAGAAGAAGGTGACTGTGGGTGCCGCTGTTTGCGCTGACTTCAGCAAGTAGAAGAAGCCATCACAGGAGTATTTAATGCCGCTGATGGCTGCCCTATATCCACAAGAATCTGAAGATTGTCGCGACCATCATTGTTTCATTGTGAGGCAGCATGAGCTCTCCAAAAACTTCTTGCAGAAGCCATGACTATTGGAAGGTACAAAGCTGGCGAGGATGTTGGTCTGGACATGCATGAGGATGATTCTGACGTCACCCTCAACGTGTGTCTCGGAAAGGTGCGCTGCCAACACTGTCTATTGTCTTGTGCGGGTGGAATTTGTGGTATTTGTCATTCCCAGCCGTCTTTTGTTACACATTGCTGACAACATCCTCGTGCTTCCGCGCGAATCTTCGTTTTGACGGAGAGGAGTTTTCAGGGGCGACTCTGTCCTTCTGCGGCCTGGTGACCGATGCAAATCACCGGAAGATGCAGTACACTTACGCGCACGAGAAGGCCCAGCATGGCACTACAGTGTTACAGCCTGTGCCGTTTTGCAAAGGCACATAGAGTGACATAGAGTGACATAGAGTGACATAGAGTCGAAAAGGCACCAACATTTGCGATCAAACCTTGGACAGGGCCGTGCAGTCCTTCACTTGGGACGGCAGCGTCACGGCACCACGGCTTTTATTTACAAAAGAGACCTATGTTGTTAGTGTGGAGCCCAGACACTCCTGGACCCAGCACATTTCCGCTAAGCGCGGTGTAGAGTCAAAAGCCTGCAGGAGCCTGAAAGCAAAGGTGCCGACAACATCGAGTCTGGAGAGCGAGTGAACTTCATCCTCTGGTCGGTTAGCCACAAGTACCGCGCTTCGGAGGTTGGGGCCTGCTTCTGCTGCGTACAATTGCAAGCATGTCGTGTTAGTATCCCTGAGGCTTATCAGAACCATCGTTTGCGAAGCTCCACCTCTGACCCTCCAGATCGAATGTGCCGTGCTCAGGTGGTGGTTGGACATGCCTTGACGGTAGATGTGTTTCCCCGCTCGCGTTTCTGTGAATATGTTTCCATTCTTCTGAGTTGTCTGTCCTACACGCACGATCGCGACTACACCAAATACCTTCCGAAACCAACGAAGGCGCAGGCTGAGTGGCCAAAGACTGTCAAGGAGTCAAAGATGGTCAAAAGCTGTTTGAATCACGAAAGCAATCTGTGGGACTGGGTGAGGCCATCTCCAGAGGGGTCATGCTAGATGTGGTGGAACGCAGACTGGAGATCTACAATCGGCCCGTGTCAGCTCCTCATTGGGTATGATTCCGGTATGATGTTACGAATCCAGTGTCAAATGTATCAAACCGTCCAGTGACTAATCGAGACATTTGGCATCGGTAAGGCTGGACCTTGCTCGCCCTATCGATGAGATAAACAGTGACGCTTGGCTTTGACTCTGATTGCTACCTCACAAGGCGGCAGAATGCTAGACGCATGGCAGACTCTGTACCGAGGTGCCCAGCATCTGCTTGTTTCTGGAGGGCCTGCCGCCGTATCGGCACCTCAGCATGGGTAGTGACATAGTGGGCTTGTGGCGGGTGCTGTGTTCCGCTTCAAGGCAGCACCAGCTTTTTCAGTCCTTGATGGAGATCGCAGAGGAGGCACCCTGGGATGCCCAAGCGCTTGGCCATCGACAACACGTCCTTGTTGCGAGCACACAAGATCCTCAGATCCTCAGATCCTCAGATCCTCAGATCCTCACAAGTCTGGCCTCCACAGAGCGCCGGGAGCTCTACGACGCTGAAGTCTAAATTCAAACATGCGAAAGGTCTTTGAACCTCACATCCGAAACATGAACATGGAAGCATTTAGAAGGTTGAAAGGACTAAGCAATGATTTTGCAGCATCATTTTGGGCAAGTCTCTGCAGCGCTTAGTGGGACAGCAGAGACCACAGCTCCTACGACAATGTGTTGCAAGAATGTTCTGCCAGATGAGGACGGGGATGGTGACCCGATGTGACAGTAGAGCTTTTGGGTAGCAGGACTATCGCGCGACCATGGCACAAATCCACTACCGATCCCCGTGTCGCGGGGCAGCGGGAGCTCTGGGAGCTCTCCAAACCTCGTAAGGCAAGGGCCCGGAGAACTGGTGCTCATGTTAGCTCATGTTGCTCTTTTTTGGGGGCAAGGGCGCAAATAGCGCCAGTTGCATCATTGTGTCATCCTAGGGTGGGCTAAGCGAGATTGGGGGGACTCCAAGCTCCAAACAGAGTCACCGTGGAGCCGCGCACATGTTTGTTTGCACATCTTGAAAGAGCCAGGCCGCCCCTGAAGGATGGGCAAAGCAAGACAATGCCGGCCCCACTCGCACACGAGGGGTCTTTAAACACAATGGGTGAACCGCTGAATAAGTCTGCACTATGCACGCCCTCCGCCGCCAACTTCGCTGCCAGTTCTCTTTTCCTACTCGTTTGAAGAGATCGTGGATTTATCTACAGTGTGCGCCACAGTTGCATTCCTTGACGTCGCCGCTCACCATGACATCAACATCCAGCTCGACATCAGTTTCCGTTCGATAATTGTCAACGCTTGCGGGCGCGGCCTCGGCAGTCGGGCTGGCCCAACACGGGGTGTAGAGAGTTCAGGGTGCGGAGCTGCAATTGGTATTGTAGAAAGGAGTTGGTATTGGAAGTTGAAGGGTCAATGAACCCGGTAATCTTTGGCTCAAGCCATGACCAAAGCGGTCGAAGGTTTCGTAAAAAGTGTGCCCTTGGTTTGGGGTCTTGTTGTTCGGTTGTTGGTTGTTCCAGGGGTATTAAGGGCTTCTGTTGGGGTTGACTGTTTTGTTCCCTGTCCTCCTTCGGTTGCCCCCCGTAGGTTATGAGCCCAAATTAGGCTCCCTGTGGGTTGGTTAAGATTTTATCTTTGTTTGGTGCTATGGATATGATGCGGCGTCGATCTGAACCTGGACCATTATCGGCGGCCAATGATGCCGAAGAAAATCGTGGTGATGGGGGTGAAGAACGACAACAAATGGTACAAGCGCTGACAGATGGTAGGGAGGTTGCAATGATACAACCAACGTCTCAGGTGGAAAACGAAGTGGTTCCGGTTCCAGCAGCGAATCCTTTCTGGAGCGAGCGGGCTCATGAAGAAATGAGACTGAGGCAATCAAGGCCAGCAAGTCTCCCTGCGAGCGGAGGGGATAGAAGTGGTGAAGAAACAAGAAGGCCACCGTCGTTGCCAGAACTTCGGGATCGGGAACCTGCCCCAGCTGAGAGGCCATCGTCAGGTTTGATGGGCCAGATGGAAAGAGGTAATATTGGTGAGACACAAGGCGAGGAAGAGCTTATTCCTGATCTGAGTGGTGAAGAACAAGGTGAAGATATGGCGGTGGTAAAGCGTGCGCTGAAAGAGTTGCTTGTGCAAACAAAGGAGCTGGGGAACAGGTTGCATCGGGTGGAGGAGAAAAGCTATACCTCTGCTGCATCTGGGTCAGCTTCGAGAGCACGGAGCACTGGAGTGGTGGACGCAAATGCTGCATATCCTTTGGGAATGACTCCAGAGAAGCAGTACCTGCCAGGACAAGTTTTCTACACTGATGGTATGGGTGGTTTCTGGACTGTGTTGCCTGATGGGACATGGCTGCCGATTGAGGGCTACGACCTTCCAAAGGGTTGTGACCTTCAACCCTTGCCTGAGCCCAGGAAAGGGGATGTTCACGTGGAGGATGAGAAAGAAGTGCCAATGATGCACGTAACTGAAGGGAAGAAACCCTCCAGATTGCCTCCATTGAATTACCCCATGGGAGGTTCTGCAAGTGGTGGATATGCAAGTGGACCACCTGGTTTAACACATGTTCCGATTACTTCCTTGCCATCAGGCGTTGATGGTTCTGCCGCACTGTTGGGAAATCAGCCCGGTTTTGTTTCAGCTCGGGAAACTTCAACGCAAGAGAACTCAGCAGGATCGGGTGGATATACAATGGTAGATGATGTTCCATATCGGTGGAAAATGATTGCTGGGAAGTTGGAATTAGAAAAGGTTCCGCTCACAGTTTTTACGCCCGGAATGGGACATGGACTGCCTCAAGGGCCTGGTGGAAGGGTCAGCTTACCTCCTGGAGCGGTGGTGCCACGTGGTATGCCAAACATTGGTGATAGTTCTGGAACTGAACGTCCGGAGGCTCTTGGGAAGCATGTGATGAGCCTTCCTACTTTGGCAGACTACACACCAAGCAATCCGACGGCACTAGGTGATTGGATCGCAATGATCGAGCCAATGCTGTCTTCGCTGACAGATACAGGAAGAGTGTGGTGGCAATCCGTCTATACAAAGGCGTATGAGGCGTATGCCAAATGGTTGAGTGTCTCTCCGCTGGAAAGGTTGGGCATCAAGGCTGAGCTGGAAGGGCTCAAGGCGGTTCGAACTGTGCATGTTTTGTTGGAGCAGAGAGCGGTGTCTTTGCTGCTACAGGCGATTCCGGAGAGATTGAAGACCGAGATCGTTTCCACTCGAATGTTGGGGTCGGTGATGATATTTTACAAGTTGCTGACAGTCTACCAACCAGGTGGAGCAAACGAGCGCAGCACAATGTTAAACTTCTTGGTGCAACCATCCTCAGCAACCTCGATCTCAGAGGCTATTAAGGGAGTGCGACAATGGGCGCAATGGCGTTCCCGGTTAAGGGAGCTGCGAGCATCCGAGCCGGATGCTACCTTGCTTATCAAGGGATTGGATGCTTTATCATCCGCGTTGCTGGCAAAACACCCTACGGTGCATTTCAGAGTGGCATCCTTCCGGGAGAAATTGGGGGTGGACTACTCGCCGACCTCTGAAACTGCGACACAACTAGCTGAAATGTTACAGGCAGAGTTTGAACTGCTATTGCATAGTGCTGGTGAACAGGAGGTGAAGCAGGACTCGGACGCCAAGAAAAGGGCCAGGTTAAACAAGGCCCAAAAGGGAACTGGTGACGAGACAGAGGAGGGTGACAAAGGCAAAGGGAAAGGAAAAAGGTACAGCGGAGATGGAGAACGTCCTTTCTGTTGGATAAACGGGAAGACCGATGCAGGTTGCAAGTTCGGAGCCCGCTGTAAATTCCGCCATGACAAAGACTCCCTTGAGCGAGGAAGATGTTTTGAGTGTGGGGCCGTTGGCCATCTGCAGCCGCAATGTCCATATAAGGATGGTGCAAGTTCCAATGTGGACTCAAATCCTGAAAGGAATAGATCTAAAGGGAATTCTCCCAAAGGGGGAAAGGGCGGCAAAGGTGCAAAATGGGGAAATGCCAAAAAGGCAGAAGTGGCTGAAGTGGGAGATGAGACGGCTATTGCGGGATTGGATAAAGGTTCTGCAAGTCCCTCATCACCATCAACACCCAATCAGGTCCTTGCTGAAGCGTTAGAAGTGCTGAAATCTATGAAGCTGTCATCAGCGCAGTCAGCATCAAGCGGGGATCCCAGTGTTCGAATGTTATGTGACTCTGGACTGCTTCAGCAGGAAGGGAGAGTGGCGTTGGTGGATACAGCTGCTACGCATCTTGTGCGGACGCTTTTTCCATGGGAATGTTTACCAGACACTACTGTTATGGTGCAAAGCGCGCTTGGTGGTGTGACAATGAGGATTACAGAGAAAGGGACGTTGATTAGGGAAGACAATGGGCCCCTGATTATCCCTCTCTGGTTGATTTTAGAGTTTGGGGCGAACCTCACTGTGATCAATGGGATGTGTCACGTGGGTGCAAAATCTTCGCTGGACCAGCTCTTGTGGTTTGAACATGGCTGTTTGGTTATGGATTACAAAACAGCTGAAAAGATGGTTTTGCATGCTGAAAGGCAGCGTGCGTCTTGGTCCCATTCTCAATGGAGGAATGGAAGGGCGGACTGTGGAGTCGGTTCGTCGGATGCCACGTTGTTGCCGAAGCAGGGAGAAGGCCGAGGAGTATGCGTTCTACATGTGGCCAGGGTTTCTGACACCAATGAGTGTTCGGGAGTGGGCATGTTGGATTCGGGAGCATCACATCCTCTCAGATCACTTCGTCCTGGTGAACAGCTTCCGCAGCAAAAGGTGTTGGTGTCTTTAGCTGTTGGATCTCGGGAGATGTGTATTACCCCAGGTGGGACCCTGGTAACTCCTGAAATGGTAGATCCACTAGTGCCAATTGGCAAAGCGAGCGCCTTGGTTGGTCTCAGAGTTCAGTGGCGTGGTGGCAAGTGCACAGCCTCACATCCTGTCCTGGGAGAACTTCGCGTTCGTGATCTGAATGGGTGCCCTTGTTTGGAAAAGGAGGTGGCGCTTCAGATCATTGATGAAATGGATTGGTGTTCACCAAAGCAAGCATTGAAGGTGGCACGTATGGTTCAAGGGTGTCCGAATACGGACAACGAGGTGGCTGTAAAAGCGTCGTTGCAAAGCGCAGCGCGGACAGCGTCAGCGAATGAGGAGGAGTTCGTCCAGGCATGCTGGCGGTTTCTTCGGTGGTATTATGGGGATATACCAGAAAATATGCTGATGGAGCTGTTGCCACGTGGAGATATTGCAGCGTTGCCTTTCAACCGTCATAAAAGGAGACGGCTGGCACGAGCAAAAAGGGTGGTGGTACACCTATTTTCGGGAAAACAAAAATGGCATTTTCCCAGTCGGGATGTGGAGGTACTG